AGCAGCAGCAGCAGCAGCAACCGCAGTATCAGCAGCATCCACGGCAGCAGTAGCAGCAGCAAGGCGCAAAGCAACAACCCAGCACAAACACCACAAATACTACCGCAACCAAAAGCAGCAAAGAACAAAAGACACAATTTCAGCAACATCTTCATGGCCATCATCATCGTCATTGGGATCGTGCCGTGATGATCATGATTAAGAACATGAACACAATAATGCCATCACTGCCATCATTTGAGCGTGCTCATCACGACCTCCATCAACAGCAGAAGATTCAATACTTCGCGCCGGTCATTATGATCTTATCGCGACGAACACGAAAGCCATGGAAACGCAAGACTCGTCGCCATGCAACAGGGACAGCAACACCAAGTACCAGAGCTGGGGTGCTTCAAGGTCCCAGAAGCCCACCGACAAGAATGGAAGCAAATGCGAAGATGCCACAAATGACGACAGGATAGCCCCGTCAAAAGCAAAATACTGACAAACCGCAAACACGAACCAAAGCAAAGCAATGGCAACAGTCCTGAGAAAACCAATGGCAGTAACCCAGACTGCGAGACCTCGCTGTAGATGTCGTCAAAGTTTCGCCCCTTGGCGCGCTCTGCATCCATGTAGTCCTGTCTTGAGCACAGCACAGCCAATGCAAGCTGTATCGAGCCTGACATCCGATCTTGAACCAAATGCAGAGCCCGATCCCAGACTCAATAGACTGAGAATCGGGAAGTGCGAACGGGCATAACAGGCAAGATTATAAGCCTAGTTTGTTGCATTGGCTGCTGAACATCAGCAGCTGCATGAGCTTTGGCACTTAGGGCGTGGACAGCTCCAGCACTTGAAGGGCACTGGACGCAGATGTACAAACCCCGAGCAGCCTCTGCTCTGACTCCTTTTCGGCTCCTGAAAACCTGTAAACCCTTTAGCCCTCACTCTGATCATTCTACAGGCTGCGCCTTGACGACGTATGAGGCCTCTACTGCCTCACCTGGCAACATGGATGGATCCAGACAGGATTTGTGGCCGCCATGGTAATTGCTATGAGATGCCAAAACTGCCACTGCTACTGCTAAAGCTATTGCTACCCTTCTCCCACTCATCCTCCTGCTCTGCTCTTACCCCTATTCCTACTCCTACTCCTACTCTCCTGCTCCTGCTCATGCTCTTGCTCCTCCTCGTCCTCGTCCTCTTCCTCCTCCTACTACTACTCCTAC